ATGGTAGGTTGGGCGGACTTCGGGTTCTGGGTTTCAGGTCTTTCTAGTTTTAGAAAAGGGCTGTTCTTGCAAGATTTGAACTGTTTTCTCACCGTGCTCGAATTTATGTCTATTCCGGGTGTTCTTCAATATGCCTTTTGTAGTAATGTTAAAAGTTACTGTTTTTTGTAATATATTAGGTAACAAAAAATGGGCTGGTACTAAAAAAAATATTTTACAAAATACGCCACGCTTTTTTGAAAATAGTTTTTATTATTGACAATTTTTAAAATTTTTGAGGATTTTGTAAGTTTTGCACGGTGCAATGAAAAACCATTCGCATTGCCACTTTTTAACCATACTTTTTAAAATTTAAAGATTGATTTTTAGATAATACTTACTATTCTAAATTAGTATAATTATAAATTTTATTTAATATTTAGTTATGAAAAAAGTTATGGCAGTTTAAAAATTTTGCACAGTGCGAAAATAAAAATATTTTTTTAAAAATAGTTAAACTGAAAATTAAAAAAATAAAGAATGATTTTAAAATGCTATTTTGAATGTGAGTTCATAATATTTGTAATTTTTTCAAAATTATTTCTGTAAACAAAGTTTTTGCGATTTTAAAAATCTGCACCGTGCAATCGTCAAGAATCAAAATTCTGCCATTTCTTTTTCAAAAATATCACTTTTAAAACAAAAAAGCCACAATGTCGTGTTGAGAATGTCATTTTCTATTCAAGAAATGACTAATAAAAAGTAATAACATCAGTTTCAGTGAGTTCAATTCGAGTATAATATGTAGACGTAACAGAGTAATAGACTATGGTTTTTTGTTTGCTCTGTTAACAATCTTGGCTTTTTATGTTAACTATAGTACCAGGAAGAATTTTATAAAAGATTTTTAGATGTGATCTATTAGTTCTAACGTAGCGATGGTATATTATTGTAGGGGCTATTGTGTATATAGACGATATTGTGGTATATAAGACAAGGTGGACCACGTGGATTGACTTTTTAGAGGGATTTAATGTTGTAATTAATGGTAGTTTTAGAATTTCGAAGCAAAAAATGGTTAAAAAGGAAAAAGTAGCGACAAAAAGTTGCGGCAACTTGAGCGACTTTCACTATTTTTTCTATTTTTTATGTTATGTTTATACTGTACAGTATTAGATAAAGTAGAGCAGAGTAAGATAGATGATAAAAAGTTGCGGCAAATTAAGCAACTTTTGCAACTTTTTCTAATTTCTTGTGGTGCCATACTGTATACTGCTATTATAGTTGACATATTGCTCATTAGGCTTGTTAAAACGTTAATTCCGCATTGATCTTATTGTTTTCGCAGCTAATCTAGCCTTGTGACTGTAGGTTATGACTTACTGACTAGACAATTAAATACCAATTATCTTACAGAAGAGGGAATTACATTACAGTAAGGTAGTTGATTTATAGTCAGATTTGCAAAGCTTGTTGTTCCTTGTTTTTTTTTAACCAAAATGCGTTAGTTAGGTTACGGTAGTAGTAGAGTAGATCTTGATAGGGGGGGGGGTAGAATTAAGTTAGGGGAGAGCTAGAGTAGAGTCAGGATAAGACTAACAATTGAAGGCAAGGCAACGATAATAGCAAAAAAAAATTACTGTCAGGTTACGATAGAACTAAAACATGATTACAGTAGAACATGAATAAGGTGGTGTTAAAGCAAGCCTACGGCAAGGTAAAGCTAGCAAGCTAGACCAAGAATAATATACATGTAAAAGCTAGCGCAAGGCTGGACTAAGACTGGTATTACGATTGAAGCTAGGACTCTGGGGCTAGGGCTCTGGGGCTAGGGCTCTGGGGCTAGGGCTCTGGGGCTAGGGCTCTGGGGCTAGGGCTCTTATACTTCGAAAGAGGCTAGGACTTGTTTTTTCAATTTTTTTTTGTTTTTAAAGTTATGTTTTTGCAAAAATCAACCGCAAAAGCTAACATAATATTGGATTTCCAGCCAACTTTCCCACCATTTATTAAGGTAACATAAACAAATGTACATTATGCTTGTTCTTTCGATTTTTTTTTCTTGTTGTAGTTTGAAGTATCGGGAAATTGCTATATAACATCACTTTTTCAAAAATTGTTCAATGTAATCGTTGTTTTTGCCATTTTTAATGATAATAATATCAATTTTTAAAATTTTAAAAGTTTTTTTGTATTTTCATAACGACGTACTGTGTACAAAATGTCATTTTGGGTCATAAAACAGTCGTTCCGTGTCTTAAAATTTAATTTTTTAGAACAAAAACAAGAAAAATTGTATTTTTTGCTATTTTGGAAGTAATTTTGTAATTTAAAAAGCTTGTTTTTGTAAAAAAAAATTAATTTTTGAGTATTTTATAATGAAATTGGTCATGGTAATTGGGTTAAGTTTGTAAATACGAAGTAAACAAGGTTTTTTTAGGTAAATCTTGTAAGATTTGACTTATGAGGGATAGTATTAGATAGTTAAAATGAGTGTAAAAGCATTATAACTTATCAACAGACAGAGAATTAGGTATAAAATTAAGTTTTTTTATAGTTTATTGTGACCATTTTTAAAAAACCCCGAATATTTGAAAAAATGACTGCACGGTGCAGTTTGGAAAAACATTTCTTATGGTTAATATCAATATTTATGACTTTTGATAATATTAATGATCTATATACTGTTAAGTAGTACTATTATAAGTAGTTTGTGTAAATATTTTTACAAAAAGTTGATTTAGACCAGTGTTATAGCCAAAAAATTAAAAATATGACTGCACAGTGCAGTTTAAAAAAACTTTTTTTTATGATTAACATTATTATTAATGACTTTTGGTAAAATTTATCGAATATACCTATAACTAGTACTGTTATAAGTATATTGTGTAAATATTTTTATAAAAAGTAGATTTAGGCCAGAGTTATAGCCAAAAAATTAAAAATATGGCTGCACAGTGCAATGTTATTTTAAACTTTTTTAAAACTTCAAACTTAAATTTTAAAATTTTTATCAAATATGTAGTTTTTAGTACGTACTGCGGCATTTATAACTTGTTCTAGCAAAAATTTTATAAAAATTTAATTTTGTTCAAAAAGAATGGCAAAATATAAAAAAAATGACTGCACGGTGCAATGTTTTTTCAAAAGTCTGCACCGTGCAAGAAAATAAAAAAGTCATTTTTAGCAATTGCTAGGGTTGATTTTATGGATAGGGCAACAAATTTTAAAAATTTTAGAATATTTAAAAAATTTTTTTTTATTTTTTGTTTGTCAGCTAATAATAATATAATTAAGTTCGGTTGCAAACCTACGTGGTCGTGTGAACCTAGCAATAATAAAGCAAACCTTTGTTTTCTCATAATTTTTTAACATATCTGCGCCATGTGTACATTTGTAACGTATTGGCTTATGTTTTTGCATCGTGCACAAACAACAACATCAATTAGTTTTTGTAGGGGAAATAGTACTGTACGGTGATTTCTGCTTTTTGTACGATAATCTGCTTAGGCTTAAGCCTAATTACGAGTTTTTTTTTGTTTTGTTATGACTAGTATTTGCCATTTTATGACTTGTGGTAAGTTTGCTAGCTATTAGCTTTTTGTCAGAAGATGAAATTTGAGTAGACGATTTTTAGTGTAATTTACACTAAAAATTTTCCACCGAACTTCCAACTTCTGAAAGTGTCAAAACTTGTTTTTAGGCCATTTTAAGGCATTTTGCAAATGGAAGTTGAGTGGAATATTTTCAGTGCAAAATACATTACAAATCTTCCACTCAACTTCCACTTGTAAAAAACTGCTATTTTCTGTTCTATAAAGAAAGTTCTTGCTATTTCTTGTTTTGTAAAGAAAGTTCTTGCCATTTCTTGTTTTGTAAAGAAAGTTCTTGCCAATTTTAGTTTTGTAAAGAAAGTTCTTGCCATTTTTTGTTCTGTAAAGGGAGTTTTTGACATTTCTTGTTTTGTAAAGAAAGTTCTTGCCAATTTTAGTTTTGTAAATAAAGTTCTTGCCATTTGTCGTTAAATTTATTCACAGGGGGGAGTACGTCAAATTTTAATGAAAAACTTGATGTTGACTGTTTATTGCTTTGTTTTTGTTTTTCCTGGATTTATTAACAATTCTGAAGCCTTACTATAAGCTGTCTCGATAGTCAATGTTAAAGTTATAAATATTGTGCCTCTTCAGTCATTTATTTCAAAAATATTGTCGTCAGAATGTGGACTGTGCAGGTAAGTTATAACTTGGAGGTTAGAGCTGAAGGGGGGGGGGGTTTCGTTTTGGTAAGGGTAGGTAGCAAGGGTGGGTAAAAAGATTTTAGGGTAGATATATCATTCTATGAATATTGGTTACAATTTTTAAAGTTTTTTGATATTTTGCACGGTGCAAACTCATAACAATATGATTGAACTGTGCAACTTAAAAAAAGGTTTTTTTTAACTATGATGTAATAACCAATTATGGTAAAACAGACTTTGATATGTTAGAAAATGTTTGCATTTATAAGCTAACAAGTATTTTTAGTTGTAAAGTACGAGTACACCATCTGCAAATTTTTTAAATTTTTGCACGGTGCAATGATGTTTAACTTGCCATTTCTAGTGGTTGAAATTTTTTAATCTTTTTAAACAGAGCTTTAAATTCATATTAAAATAGGAGTTTTAAAATTTTTGTGTAATTTTTAATTTTTTGAAATTTAGTTTTGTCATTTATATTTTTTGCACGGTGCAATGATTTTAGAGTTGACAACTGACATTTCTAATATTGGGGTAAATAAAATTTTGTAATTTATTGAAAATAAGGTTTAAATTGAGTTTTAAAAAGCTTTTTTTACTTTTTGTGATATTTAAAATTTTTGAAATTTAATTTTGGCGTTTTAATTTTTTTGTACCGTGCAATCCTAAAATTTATTTATTTTGCCATTTTAAATCGACTGTACTACAAATTAACGTTGAATATGTCGTGTACGCTACATTTTTTAATTTTTTAAGATACATTATACAAAAACTTTGTTTCCAGGTTACCATGTCACAGTTGGTTAGTCGGACGAGGACCAGTTCGACGATGGTCTGCGTTTGCTTGATTTTGTGCTTTCTGGTGCTGGCGGACTGCTTCGAGGAGGTGTCGGCCCGAGTTTACGTGGTCAAATCGCAGAAAAAGCCGGCCAAAAAATGTCGGGTAAGTAGGATGTTAAGCATGGTGACGTTATCTGTTGGCATAGCTAGAAATTAATCCTAAATAACTAGAAATAGGCACAATTTAGCTAGCTAGAGTTTAAAATAGCATTTTTTGAGTTTTGTAAACAAAGTTTTGTCATTACATTAAAAATTGAATCTTTGCTTTGCACGGTGAAAAATTTATATTTTTGCACCGTGCAACAAAGTTTGATTTTATTACTGTAGGTTTTACGGCTTATTTTATGTAACAAATATTTTTTCATATTTTAGTCTAGACTAATGAAAACCTACTAAAACAAATTTTACTTTAGTAGCATTAAAAAGAATGGCATAATGAATTTTTAAAAAATGACTGCACCGTGCAATCTAAAAAATGTTTTCTACTGTGCACATAAATCTTAAGTGCTTGTCATTTCTCATTCTGTAAAGAAAGTTCTTACCATTATTAATTCTATAAAGAACGTTCCAGTCATTTCCTTGTATAGCGTGGCTTTACATAGCAAATGCCATAGTATAAGGTCAGTATAATATAAAATGTCTCAGTTGAGTCATAGCTTATGCAGAATGGCCTAGTATGTTGAGCTGAGGATATTGTGTATCTGTTATTCAAAGGTGGCTTAGAATATTCGATATAAAAGCTAACAGGATCGAGTTATTTAGAATTTAATACCTAAAAAGAAAAAGCATTTGACACAAGTTTATGAGTACATAATGTAGTAGAAGCTACACTACAGAATATGATTGAAAAAAGGTGAGTATTGAGTTTGTATTGAGGTTGAGATAGTACATTTAGTACGTACAAGGATTATGAAGAAAAAAATTAGTTTAAAAATAGAAAAAACTTTGTTTACAAATTAAAAAATTACACAAACTGTCTTTACAAAACAAAAAATGGCAAAAAAATCAATTTATTTGCACGGTGCAATCATTTTTTAAAATTCACTGTGCCATTCTTTTTAAAACAATGAAAGTAAAAGTTGTTTTAATAGCTTTTTAATTTGTCTGCACGCTGCAACCAGGGCCGGGCGCGAGGGGGGGGGGACGGGGGGGGGGTACCCCCTAGAAAAAGAATTTTTGAAAAAATTGAACGTGGTCCCCCCTGTGGATTTTCGGAAAAAAAATTTCGCAAAAAATCGGCACAGGTAGCCAACTGTGCCGATTTTTTAGACTCCTGCCCCCAGACCAAAAGTCCCCGCCCGGCCCTGGTTGCGACAATATTTGTTACCTAAAATATAAAATAAGTTTTATAGTACGAAAAAGAAAAATTGTTGCACTGTGCAAAAAAATTAAAGTACTGCACAGTGCAGCAGAAATTGAAGTTTTTGGACTAAAAATGAATTTATAGTTTTTAAAGCGCAAGAAATTTCTTTACAAAACAAAAAATAGCAAGAACTCTCTTTAAAATACAAAAAATAGCAAGAACTTTCTTTACAAGCCATAAAATGGCAAAAACTTTCTTTACAGAACCAAAAATTTTGATTTTTTATTAACCTTATTGTAGGTCCACATCAACACTCACCTGCATGTGGTAATGGACCGTATCTGTTTGTTGTGTCATGAGATGTTCTCCCATGAGAATCCGAACTTCCGAGCCGATTGCTCTTCGAATTGCTACAAGTCTGAGCATTTCCGTCGCTGTTTGAACGTGTTTGGACCGATCGAAGCGCCCAAGTTGTTGAGCAAAATCGAGCATGAGGATTGAAGTAAAATGATGTTTTTTGATTGTGGATGTTAGTGTTTTGGTCGAAAAGTTTGTAGAATTTCATTTATTTTGCTTTGTGGTCAAAAAGTTTGTAGAATTTGGCCTTTGGTCTAAAAATTCGTAGAAAAGGCTTCTTTTGGTCAAAATGTTTGTAGAATTCCACTTTTATTGCTTTGTGGTCAAAAACTTAATAGAATTTTGCTTTTTGGTTAAAAAGTTTATAGAATTGTACTGTGTGTCAAAATAAAATTAGTTTCCCGGTCCAAAAGTCAATAGCAGTTCCTTGTTTTCATAGTACAAAACCTGAAATATTTTTGTTATACTGTAGCTTCTCATATACATAACGTAATATTTGTCTTCTTGCTGTAATTTCCATAAATTTATAGATTCATCGGTTTTAGATACAGTAATACTTTAAACCACAGGTGCTGTATTTCGGTACTACAATACGTTACGCACTGAAATTTTACATCACAGTAGCTTATGATATTGTAATCTTTCAATATTATATGTAGATACAGTAATATTAAGTTACAGTAATTAAAGTATAGTGCTTTTGTCATACAGTAGCTGAACCATTACGGTACTTTGCACACTGTAGAAACCAAATTACAGTATTTAACCGTATTTTTGCTTAAATTTGCACAATTTTACCCCCCGGTCGTGTTTTTAGTCTATCCTATTCTACTCTACCCTATTATACTCTACCTACCTTACCCTACCCTATTCTACTCTATTCAACCCTACCCTACTCTATTCATTGTAATACATCCTAGTCTCTCCTTCTATGTTTACTTCTCAACTATGTAACTCTGTCTTTACTTTACTATTTTCTTTCATACGGGTTCTAGTGTAATTGATATTTATTGTCTAGTCATGTTTACCGTAGCATTTTTAAACATAATATACTATAATACTATTTGTTTTTAATCGGATTTAGCTTTAGTTACTTTAATAAACTTTATTTAAGTAAACAGTTGGAATTTTTATATGAAATGTTTAAAACGGCAAGAACTTTCTTTACAAAACAAAAAATGACAAGAACTTTCTTTACAAAACACAAAATGGCAAAAAATGTTTAATTAATCTGCACGGTGCAAGGTATTTATTTCAAGGATTGCACGGTGCGGTCATTTTTTAAAACTTTATTGTGCCATTCTTTTTAATGCTATCAAAGTGAAAATAGTTTTTGTAGCTTTTTATTAGTCTAGACTAAAAGTTAAAACAATATTTGTTACCTAAAATACGCCACTAATTGCACCGTGCTCAAAACAAAATTTGTTGCACTGAGCAAAGGAACTAAAACATTGCACAGTGCAAAAAACTTCAAATTTTAAAAATACTTGTTTCAAATGAATTTTAAAATTTATTTTATATAAAAAGCACAATTTATTGTAGAATTACAGTATTTATACAATGAAGTTAAAAAAGAAACTAAACCGTAATACTGAGTGAAGTACTGTAAGGCTGAGTGAAGTAGATGAGTATGTGTTATGTATATTTGTACAAAGTGTCGTTGTACCTTGAGGACTAATTATGGCCCTAGAGGAATTGTCATGGGGGCTAGTTTTGATTGGGTCCTAAAAAAATTAAATAAATTTTTAAAAATTTTAAATATTTAAAAAAATTTTACCTTGCCCTTCCTGCTTTCTCCTCAATTGTATTGCCCTACCCTACCCTACCCTATCCTACCCTACCCTACCCTACCCTACCCTTCCCTATCCTACCCTACCCTTCCCTACCTTACCCTACCCTTATCCATGTCTAATAAGATTACTTACGTTTACTCTCTAAGTAGTCCTTGAGCATAGCTTGGGAAATGGCTGAGTTCGAGAAAGTGGCGTAGTTCGAGACGTTGAGGAGGCGTTCGAAACGGCATTCTTCAATCTTCTCCATTATTGTTACACGTCAGACTTGGAAAGTGAGGTATATTTGGGGCTGAAAAATAAATTTAAAAAAAAAATTTTTTAATTTTAAAATTTTTTTAAAAATAAAAAAAAATTAAAATCACGTAAAAATAAAAATGAGCTAGTAAATTATGATTCGTTTTCCATTAGTGACATTCCAAAAATTAATAATTATAAATTTTCAAAACTGCACGGTGCAAAGTTATTAAAATATGTTTTGCACGGTGCAAAGAACATAGTTAGTCCCAAAACAAATATCGCACGTAGGTTTAAAATTTAAAAACACTAAAATACATTTTCAACAAGTCATTTTCAATATGTATTCTAAAAAAATTGAAGCAAAAATAAAATCGCAGCACTATTATTTGGCATTTGAAAATACTTGCACCGTGCAATAAAAGTAAATTGTAAAGAAAAGCAGAGTACCGTATTTAACAATTAAAAAAACGTTTTATAAATACAAAAATAAACATTTGAAGCTTATAAAAATTAATTTTATTTTAATTTGTTACCTAAAGACATGAGAAAATTTAAAAAAAGTTTGTTTGCACCGTGCAAAAACAGAAATTTTTTTTTCGGGAACAGCATCATTATTCGTATTTTACATTTAAAAATGTACGTATGATTAATAAAAGCAAGATTTTTGAGTTTATTTTGATTAGTTTTATCAGATTTTTTATTTGCATATTGTTTAAAATGAAACTTTTTTAATCTGCACAGTGCAGTCTTTTTGGAAGGGTTTTTTAAATGCCAAAACAAAACAAAGACCCTCATCCACCACCCTCCCCTAACTTATCTTACTCTACCCAGCCGTACTTAGCCTTACCCAATCATACAATGTCCTACCTTACCCTACTTTACCTAGCCATAAATTACCCTACCCCACCTTACTCTACCCTACCCAACTTTACCCTACTCTATTCTCCTTAAAACCTTTGACTTCAAAATTCCCCACATTTCCTTGCATTTCCAATAAATTTCCAATGCTTTTCAACTCCATTTCAAAGCCAAAAACAATAAAATTTTTCTAAAAAAGCAAAGAAAAAGTTTGCGGCCAATTTGTTTCGGCCAAAAGCAATAAACCTTCGCGCAAACACTTTTGTTCTGCTTATTTTTGTAGCGATTTGGGTTCACGTGATCTGTTTTGTCAGAAGACGGCCGACATCTGATGCAATTTCGAGTTGACAGGTGTTTTGGCCAATTTGAATACAGTATACCGTTAATGGACAAAATTTTTCAAAAACAAGTTCGTTTTTTGAAAATTGATCAACTTTTTTAATTTTTTTTATTAACACAACATTAAATTCTTCAAAATGTAAATAAAATTTTTTATTTGAGTTTGTAAACAAAGTTATTGCGCTTTTTTCAAAAAAGAGGCAAAAATCTTAAATTTTGCCATTTCTTGGGTTGCACAAGGTTAAAACAAATAAAAAAATTCCAAAAGATTTCAAACATTCATTTTTAAACATTTTTAATACTGTAAAGAAAGTTCTTGCGTTTTTTTAAAAGTTAGCCAAAAACTTCAAATTTTGACATTTTCAAGTCAAAAAAGTTCTCAAAAGCACTAAAAAATATAAAAAATTTGTAAAGAAAGTTTCTTCGCTTCAAAATTTATATTAAAAATTCATCAATAACAACTTTGCACCGTGCAGTCACTATCCCGCAGCTCTTTGCCTTCTGAAGAAAACCCGAGAAGGCGGTCCCGTCCGATCTGGCAAGTTAAGCAACGGTGCGCTTGATTATTCAGGAAGGGTTCAAATCCCGCTGGATAATAATATTGTTTTTGGCTTTGAAATGAAAAGAAAAAGGCAAAAATATCGTTTATAGTAAAGTAATTATAACAAAGCGTTATTTGAAAAAAAATATTTTTAAAATTTAATGCAAAAACTTTGTTTACAGAGCAAAAGTCCGTAAAATATTGCAAAAATTATACAAAAATAAGAAAAAAAGATAAAAAATAGATATGAAAATTACTAAAACTGTAAAGAAATTGTTTATAATTTTATAAAAATTAGTTTTTTTATGCAGAAACTTTCTTTACAATATTAAAAACTCTTTAAAATCTTCAAAAATCTTTCGTTATTAATAAAAAATGCCCATTTTTGACCTTTTGAACCCGAATCCACCGCAAAAACTTTGTTTCCACTTCCGCCCCAACATCTGACGTTATAATAAATGCATTTTCAAACGTAAGAAACGTTGGTCCAAAAACTTTTTTTTTCGAAAATTTCTCTTTTGAGCTTTTGTCCTCCCGGAGGGGGAGAAAAGCAGTGAATGGGGCAACTGACTCATGGATAATATGGAACATGTTTACTATCAGATAACAGCTGACTAGCACAACAATTATAATAGACAGATTACAATTTTACAGACGTTTTTGACGTAAATACGCACTTTTGTTTGTAAGTAATGGCACAAGTGGAAGGTAATGAAGACTTTGTAGTTTTTAGGCAATAGAAAGGAAGTTACTGAATGTAAGTAGTGTAAATACAATTTTGAAAGATTTATGAAGACATATTTTATATTTTCAAAGCTTTTTTGTCTGTAAACAAAGTTTTTGCATTTTTCAAAAAATAATCTTTAAATTCAAATTTTGACATTTTCAAACCAGAAAAATATTTAAAAACAATATAAAATTACAAAAATTTGTAAAGAAATTGTCTTTACTTCAAAATTTGCATCAAAACATCATCGGTAACAACTTTGCACCGTGCAGGCACTCAACCGCAGCTCTCTGCCTTTTGAAGAAAACCCGAAAAGGCGATCTCGTCCGATCTGGCAAGTTAAGCAACGGTGCGCTTGATTATTCGAGATGAGTTCGAATCTAGCAAAATAAAATAAGGTTTTTTGCTTGAAAATAAAAATATAATAAAAAATGTTTTTACTATATAAAAGTAAACAAAATACCAGGTTTACAAACTGTATTGCTTTTTAAATTTTTTGCAGAAACTTTGTTTACAGAGTAAAAAGTTTCACAAATTTGACAAAATTAGAGGTTTCTTTCCTTTTTTGAGGTGTTTTATTAATAAAATTAAATAAACAACGCAAAAGTACTTAAAGATTAAAAATTAACACAAAAAATCGTAAAAAATTGGCAAGAACTTTCTTTACAAATCTAAAAATTGTTTTTTCAAATACAAATGACCACTATTTTTCAAGTCTGCAAAAATAAATAGAGCGGAAGCCGTTAGCCCTTTAAATCCATAAATAATTAAAGAAAAATAGACGCAATTACCATGGGTACACTTGCCTTACACACCTACTTAAAAATTTACTATGTATTCACCATTACCTATATTGACGTCAATTTTTAGTCTTTATAACACTAACTACACATAACTGAGTTAAAATTTAAAGACTCACACATAAAAAAAAGTTTACTACGGTAAAGCCTATGTTTTAAACTAAAAATTTAAAGCTGAAAAAATATTCTTTACAGCGAAACACTACTGTAAAGGTGTATATTATACGAGGAAGCAAACAAAAAGATATCAATTAAAATTTATAAAACAATTGATGAAAATAATATTCTATAAAGAATGCGATTTCAAATGTCATTGCTCGCGAGATGATTGCGATGATGGATTAAGCAGCAAAAGTCGAAGATCCCCAAAATTTGCGAAATTCGTATGAAACACTATAATCTTGCAAAAACTTTTAAATTTTAAAATTAATAAACAAATTTAAAAAATTAAAAAATTTTTTTATATTATTTTTGGTACAAATAACTATAACCAACCGTATTTTGCAACAAACTTCTTTTTAAAGTCAAACTTGACACTAGGCGTCAACTGTTGCTCTGAAAATTATTTATTTTTTATTTTCCGGAAAAGGCGAACGGGATGCAATAAACATGCTTTAATTCCATTCAACCCTCAAAACAAAGATGAATTCAGCACTAGATAAGAAGATACGACGTTCCATTGACGTGCTGGAAGGAAATTCAGCTCAACGGCCGGGAATTTCAGCAAAACGGTACGATTTTCGATCTTAATATCGCTTTTTATACCTTGAAAACTCAATAACAATATTGTTTTTCTTTAGAAATCGAGATCCATTAGCTGAAGCATGCAATGAAGTACGGAGAATCTTGGCAGATGAAGAATATTGGCCGAAAGCTTATACGAATCGAGCTTTACATGGTTTATTTGATGTTTTAGACAAGGACGATGCTAATCTTCGTATCTTGGCGGACCAATGCTTGAATGCTATCTTAAGGGTATGCTTAGTTAGTTATTACATTTTTCTTGGATTTTAGGTAACACAACAAGCAATAACCAGTTTTTTCAGAAGTTCTTGATTAAAGGGCATTCCTCAAGGACTCTAGCTGTTCTCCTCAACGAAATAGGTCGAAAAGCTTCAGCCCGAGGGTTTGTAGCTGCTTTAACGATGCTTGAAGCTACACTACATTATGCTAAAGAAGCTAGAGTGTCAGTTTATGCGATGCATTTGTTTAATTCCATGAAAGAGACAATCAAACGGCCAGAACAAGCGATTCAGAGCTCGATCGAGCAATTATTCCCTCAAATTTGTTCGTTTTTCAAGCTGGATTTGACTGACCAACATTATAGATACGTAGATGCTTTGTGTCTACAGTGTTTTGAGAATCTACAGTTACCTGGAGTTGCAAATCGAGCAGCTGTGGCACTGTTAGCTGCATTTTACGAGAATTTTCCGCAAATTCGAACGAAAATCGCTCATAACTTATTGGGTAAGTTGAATATCTTTTTGTTATTTTGCTTTTTAGATACTCTAAGGATTGCTGAAGAAGTGAATGACAAGAACAAGATTGTTGGGAGCTTCAATTTCTTTAAAAAAGCATGGAATTTTGTTAAGGATGAGAATGTTATTCATGCCGTTCTTTATCGTTGTTTATGTGCTTTGAAATCAAGTATGAGTGAGATTCAAGTGGCTGTTTTGGAGCTTCTTGATGTGGTTTGTAGCTCAGACTCTTTGAATTTATTGGAATTTAAGCCTAGTTTATTTATTGATCAAAGTTATCAAAGTAGTTCGGATTTGGAATCCTTGAATAATGTTAGTGTAAGTTTCTATTTTTTTTATTGATTTTTTTATATTTAGGTAAAAAATGTCTTCTTTTTTAATTTAGTTTATCATGATTTGTTGATTTTGAAATTTAAGGCTACATTTGATATTGTTTTAGATCTCCAGTTACCTAAACTAATATTTTTTAATATTTAGGTAATAAAAACGTCTTTTTCAGATAACAGAGAAGGATTTTGTATTAGACGGAGAGGAATCGACCAACATTTCTAGGTTTAACTCAGTGAATTCACTTGAAGAGTCGCTTCCACCTACAGCAAGATCGGAGGTTTCTGAAGATAATGACGTTTTTAACAAGGACAGCGACGATGTAAGGGCTTAAAATTTGCCTCTTATGTATTTAGGTATTAACTCACTATTTTTGAAATTTGCTTTTGGTCAAAAAGTTTGTAGAGAATGCGATATAAAGCTGTTTTGTTAAGGATGGTGCATTTTTGGGGATATTGCCTCGTTTTTTATGAATTTTTGGACTGCTGAAGCGATGGTTGATCTAATTTTTTCAGGAAGACACAGCGTCCGGTCGAACGTCGAAAAGTGGTAATGATCAAGTTGAATCCGACCCACTTTTTCGCCCAAACTCACCTTCAGAATACCTGTTGGACAATGTGGAAGAACAACAGGAATCTCCAACTGATTCTTCATACCAACTGATAGATGGACCACTATGTGAAAAGCTACCGAAAGTACCGGATCAACAACAAGCTTCAAAACAGCCTTTTCAACAACAACATTTTGTATATTACACTTGTTACACGATATTATCCAAGTTTTTATTGTCCGGGAAGCCTGGGGAACTTAAATCTGACACGGATGTGCGAATTTCAATCAAAGTTATGGTCCTGAAGGTCATGGCGAACATTGTGGGCAAGTATGAAGGAGTACTAATTAAAAATGACACTGAGTCAACTTGGAATATTACCGATGTTGTATTAGGTGGACAGAGCTTTATGGACATCCAAAGTTTAATACAAAGCTCGGATGACACTCTGGCAGTACGATGTTTTGAAGTTTTTGCGAATTTGGAGGCTAGATTGGTCAGAAGTGGCGTTAAATACAAACAAACTGCTATGCCGAGTAAGTTGGAGTATTGTGAGGGTTGGTTATGGTAGGGCAGGGGCTGCGGAAGGGCACGGTGAAGTAGGTTATGGTACGGCAGGGTGGAGTAGATGGTAGGTTATAGTAGGGCAGAGGGTGCGATAGGGTAGGATGGACCAAGGGTAGGTTATGGAAGGGCAGGAGCTACGGTAATTCACTTTAGAGTAAGTTTGGCTAGGGCAATAGGTACGATGCAGGGATACGATGGCTCAGGCGTTGATCACCTATCGTAAACTTACCTTGTCTTACCGTACTCCTACTTCTACTTGCTTTCATCTGCCGTACTTGTATTGCACATGGCTCCTATTCAACCTTACTCTTACTCTGTACTACACTACGGTGCTCGATCTTACCTTACCTTGTCATTATCTTACCCTACTCTACCTTATTGTACTACTCTAGCTTAAATTTCGTACCCTACTGCTATTTTACCCTACCTTACCCTATTTTACCTACCTTATTCCTCCTACCATACCATACCCTACACTGAGTTTCCCTACTTTACCGTACTTAACTCATCTTCACCCTACCCTTCTGTTTAGGTAAATTTTCGATTCATCTAGTCCAACTCCTTCGCCAGCCAAATCCAATGAAACTCAAAGAATTGTTCCAAATTCTAACAAAGACCCAAATCATTCTACAAGATCAAAACACATTGAAAACGGTACTAAACTCAGCGATTGACACCTTCGATTGTGACTACTTTTTACTCAAGATCGCCAGAGCTGAATTCTTATCTAAAATACGTTGGGATTTGGTGAATCCAATGATTAAAGAACAATATCAAAAGAAATGTCTGCTATTATTGATTAAAAACTTGTTTGACAGCGATTATAGAGTGTCACAGGCGGTCGCTGAGGTGTTTTCAAGGTAAGAACTTTCTTTACAAAAAAGTGGCAACAATTTTCTTTACATAACGAAAAATGGCAAGAACTTTCCTTACAAAACGAAAAACAACAAAAACTTTCTTTACAAACTTTAAAAAATAGCAAAAAATTTTATTTATTTTGCACAGTGCAAAACCTTCTTTTGATTGCACTGTGCAGTCATTTATTAAAAATTCATTGTGCCATTCTTTTTGAAGCATGTCAAAGTAAAAGTTGTTTTAATAGCTTTTTATAGGTACAGACTAAAAGATAAAACAATATTTGTTATCTAAAATACGTGAGAAATAGCACAGTGAAAAAAACAAAATTTGTTGCACCGTGCAAAAAGATAAAATGGCAAAAACTTTGTTTACAGTTAAAAATGAAAAAAAAGTAAAAAAGATGTGTTACCTAAACTTTAATTAAATTTTAAATTTTAGCGCCGTCAAAAACGCCGAACTTTCAAAATTGTCCAACATTTTCAACGTGTCATGCCCTGAGGACATAACCGGTTTCTCCTTATCACAACAGCCTCAAATCTACGCTCTACATCCTAATTACTCCTTCCGAGGCGATTGTCCAGACCTACTATACGAACACAATCTTACAGTAGCCATTACCATGCTATACGATGAATTTTGTACATCAAAGAACGCCGCCGGCTTCATTATAGGCTTATTAAGCTTAACAGATGCCTTCTCACCGAATATTTATGGAAATGCATGGGCATTAGAGCTGTCATGTCACAATTTTCAAAAGTCCGTCATTGACGTACTGGTCGAACTGGCCGATAGTACCATCAGTCAACCCAGCCTAATGGTTAGTACCCTAAGGCTAATCGGCCAAATTTCGAACGGAATTGCCGAGAATTTGATGACAAAACAAAAATGTCAAATCCAGCAGGAAAAGAACTGTATCGAAGATGTAATAGTACTACATACCAGGGTGGTTAACATGTATTTCACAGTGATAAGGGAGAGTTCAGCCAAAAGCACGGTCAATATGAGCTCACCAATGTTCACTAAGAGGAATTGGGTCCAAGGCGGAGGCAGAGACTCGGCCAGCGAGAATCGGTAAGGGTTTTGGGTTAGGGCGGGGTAAAATTTTTAAAATTTGAAAATTTTTTTTTAATTGAATACATAACTATAACACGTTTCATTTGAATTTTTGAGCGTTTTAGGCTTATATTTGGTTATTTTATACCTAAATTTAATAAAAATTTTTGAAAATTTAAAAATTAAAAAAAATTTTTTTTTGTAATGTTGGAATTAGAATTCGTTTTTCAGCTTATAATTTAAATTTATTTTATTTTTAGTTATTTTAGGCTTATATTTAGTCATTTTAGGCGAAACTTAAGAAAAAAAAATCAAATTTTTCAAATTTTTTTGTATTTTTAGACTTTAAAATTGATTCTTATATTACTAGAAGCATGAAGAACGTATTTTAAACTATTTTTCGTTTTGTCACAATATTTTAAAAATTTAAGGCGATTCTGAAATTTTTAAAAACATTTGCACGGTGCAATGAAATTTTCTAAAAGCTTGCACAGTGCAAGCTGCTTTTACAATTTTTAGGTAATAATGTCCCTTTTTATTAGATTTTGGCTTGACTTATGATTTTTATGGCATATTTTTGTTTTTTAAGAGGTTAGAAAAGGTTTATGATTATATTGACATTTACTGCACGGTGCAGATTTTTGTGAAATTGCACCGTGCAAAAAATGAAAAATTTGTGAATCTGTGCCATTTTAATGTCATTTTAATGGTGAAATTTGAGCTTTTTTTTTATTTTTTAACTAAGTTTTTAACTTTTTTTATTATTTTCATACCAATATATTGTTGTAGGTCTTACTCGATATCCCACCTAGTAGGCACTGGAGTCCACCCAACTCGACCAACTTCATACACATCATCCTTATCATTAAGACGAATAGAACCATTAATTCGAGGAGCTTTTACTAATTTTCAAACTTCATTAAAGAAGAATTCAGAAGAAAGATGCATTTTACTACTTAACACGGCTCTAGACGGTCTATCAGCCCTCCTAGAGGTGGTACCTCGCGATGTACTAAATTTATTTTTGGACGAATTCTTCGTATATATCAAAACAATAATGCACGTATCATTGGCTAGCTGTACTGCCTTGATTAGTCAGTTATTGAAGGTTATATTTGATGGAAATGCGTATCATATTGACATCAACACATTGGTCTCTTTGAGGCTCAAAAACTCGGTCGTGCCGAACGGTAAGAGGGTCGGTTTTGGGTTTGGTGGGAAGATAAAAAGCTAGGCTACTATATTGTGGGCATTAAAATGTCTTCTTTTTTTATTTTAGTTGTCGTATTTTACTAAAACACCAAAAAATATGACCCAAAAAAGCAAATTTTTAAAATTTTTTTGTTTCAATGACAATCTTTTTTGAAACAAAGCTACAGTTTTTAAAGTTTGGATAAATGAAGAGTGTCTATGTGGTCAGAAAAATAGTTGAAAAGCATTTGAAAATTTTAACTTGTCTTAAAGTTGCAGTAGTTTTGCCATAACTCATCAATTTTTAAAAATTTAAAATTTTTGAAAAAAAATTTTTTTGAATTCAAAAAATTGAAGGTATAGACCTTGTAAAGCATAGTAATTCGAATATTATATGTAATTTTTATGGTGATATATTGTCTTACCGCAAAATTATGGCAAATTGAAAATGTCGAAAATTCAAAAAAGTTCGAATCCGCTTGGGGACTTTTCAATTTTTGACATTTTTAATGAGACGCTATCTTTTCTACGCGTATTTTACAAAAAAATCATTTTAAAAATCCAGTTAAACTTAAAAAACTTAAGTTTCAATATGAAGGCTTCGAAACCTTACCATTCCAGATCAACTAGACATGTACATAGGCCGGTCAATCAACGCTTTTTCCGTCTATTTGGCTTTTCTCGACCGGTCGGAACATTTTACAACGCATCAATTGAGGCATTTTGGCTGGTTAAATAAGAATAAGAGCTCTGTAGCGACAACAAGAAGCTCTAGTCATGCATTGGAGATTGGTACCAGATTGGAGCAGTTTGAACGATTTGTGACGTTTCTAATGCATGCCTTCATGAATAACTCACAAAAGGAAGTCAGAGGAAATGTGAGGGAATATTGGTTGTTTTTAGGCTTGTTACGCAAGTTAAGGCTTGACAATCTTGGTTTGGTAGGGCAGGGTAGGGTAACGGCAGGGTAAGGTAGGACAGGGTAGGGTAGGATGTGGTACTGCAGGGTATGGGAGGGTAATGTAGGGTACGGGTGATCACATTTTTAGACTTAACAGCACGCATTTTTAGGCTTATTACGCAAGTTTTAGGCTTAGCAGCACACATTTTTAGGCTTATTGCGCACGTTTAGGCTTAGCAGCGCACATTTTTAGGCTTATTACGCAAGTTTTGGTTTAGCTGCACATGATTTTAGGATTTATTATGCAAATTTTAGGCTTAACAGCACGCATTTTTTGGCTTATGACGCAGCCTTATGCTTAGCAGCACACATTTTTAGGCTTATTACGCAAGTTTAGGCTTAGCGGCACTTATTTTTAGCTTATGACGCAACCTTAGGCTTAGCAGCACACATTTTTAGGCTTGCTACCCAACTTTAGGCTTAGCTTAAAGTTCATTTTTAAGCTTTTTACACAAGTTTTAGGCTTAACAGCACACATTTTTAGGCTTATTGCGCACGTTTAGGCTTAGCAGCACACATTTTTAGGCTTATTACGCAAGTTTTGGTTTAGCTGCACATGATTTTAGGATTTATTATGCAAATTTTAGGCTTAGCAGCACACATTTTTTAGGCTTATTACGCAACGTTTAGGCTTACAAACACATGTTTTTAGGCTTATTACGCAACGTTTAGGCTTACAAACACATGTTTTTAGGCTTATTACGCAACGTTTAGGCTTACAAGCACATGTTTTTAGGCTTATTACGCAACGTTTAGGCTTACAAGCACATGTTTTTAGGCTTATTACGCAACGTTTAGGCTTACAAACACATGTTTTTAGGCTTATTACGCAACGTTTAGGCTTACAAGCACATGTTTTTAGGCTTATTACGCAACGTTTAGGCTTACAAACACATGTTTTTAGGCTTATTACGCAACGTTTAGGCTTACAAGCACATGTTTTTAGGCTTATTACGCAACGTTTAGGCTTACAAGCACATGTTTTTAGGCTTATTACGCAACGTTTAGGCTTACAAACACATGTTTTTAGGCTTATTACGCAACGTTTAGGCTTACAAGCACATGTTTTTAGGCTTATTACGCAACGTTTAGGCTTACAAACACATGTTTTTAGGCTTATTACGCAACGTTTAGGCTTAGCAATACACATTTTTAGAGTTATGACGCAATTTTAGGCTTAGCGATTTTGGTATGGAAGGGTAGGGTGTGTTAAAGTAGCACATATCTAATGATACTAACGGTACCTATATGATAACTTATTCAATGTAAACTATGTTTTTAGATCCTAACCCTACTTGGAGTCCTAGTAATGAACGACGTTCGCTACGACAAACTGGACCCTCAAAGCCGAATCTGGAAGTCGGTTTTGCAAATTGTCAGACATCCAAACCTAAAATACGCGAATGAATTCGAATCTCTATTTAAATTTATCTGTTTGGTGACAAGAGTTATCGACGTATCATTCGACGAACTGATAGCATTGTTAACGAAATGCATCGAACATAGTAACGAAGAGAATTGTCATCATCTCATGGATGGGCTGCACATTGTTGTACTTGAAGCTGTAGGGTATTATGCAAAGGTAAAGAATTTTTGTTATGCTTTTGGTTGGAAAGAATGTTTTTGCAATTTTTTGATTTGGAAAGAAAGTTCTTGTCATTTTATGTCATCTAAAGAAAGTTTTTGCATTTTGGTTTGTAAAGAAAGTTTTTTCTATTATTTGATTGTTCAATTTGTTTTCACAGTCAAAACCTTATTTGTTATGCACCGTGCAGTGAATTCATTTTTCTGCACCGTGCAACAATTTTTCTTTTAATAACAGTGTTATTTGTGGCGTATTTTATCTAACTAATATGGTCTTAAAATTTAGTATAGACGTATAAAAAGCTAATAAAACTGTTTTCGCTTTGGTGGCATTAAAAAGAATGACACAATAAATTTTTAAAAAAATGACTGCACAGTGCAAGCCAAAAAAATTCTTTGCACTGTGCAAATAAATTGAAGTTTCTTGCCATTTTTTGTTTTGTAAAGAAAGTTTTTGCCATTTTTCGTTTTGTAAAGAAAGTTCGGCGCTTATGTAGATCAGCCCCCCGCTTTGTGAAGTATAGCCCCGCAACCATTATAGATACTTTAGCCCCCCATAATGAAAAATGAAAATCAATTATTTTGAAGTTGTTACTGCCGGGTTGTTTTTATTTTGGGTGGTTGATGTTAACAGTTGGGGGGGGGGCTAATGTTAACAGTTGGGGGGGGCTGATGTTAACAGTTGGGGGCTGATGTTAACAGTTGGGTGGTTGTTGTAAATAGAAAATAAAATTAAAAGTGCATTTTTTAGTTGTAATTTATGCAAATTTCACTTTTTGTGAACTTTCAATTTCTCACGCATGCGAAACCTATAAAAGCCGGTTGATTTTGCCAAAACCTTCATTCTGCCTCGCCATGCAACGCAGGTCGCGTTCCGCCTCCTATAATAGGCCCGGCCGCGCGACCCTGCCACCGATTCCAGCCACTTCGTCAGAATTCGACCTTTTGGACGTTGCATAGGACAGTTTAGGCCAGCTACCCGTTTGGGGGGCTGTTCTAAACACTGGGGGGTTGAAGTATCGTGGGGGGGGCTGAACTACATTAGCCCCGAAAGTTCTTGCCATTTCTTGGTTTGTAAAGAAAGTTCTTGCCATTTTTCGTTTTGTAAAGATTATAAATAACAATTTCTAATCTTTTTGATATTTTAGGTACCAGAATCACTAATATCAGTATTAAAAGCTGAAAATTCAAAACTTTTTGCACTTTGTCCGGACAAGACAATTCAATTATGGACGATAATTCTTCACTGGGCAAGAACAACTCAATCCGACTGTTTTTACCACGAATTATCGACTGGTTTTGTTGGTGAAATTGAAAAGTTTATTGATGTACAGGTTGAAAGATCAAATTTTGATATGAAAATGGTCGAAAAATTAGGGAAATCGACCGAAAAACAAGGAAAATCTACTGATTTTGAGGACAAAACGGCGTTTTTTGGGGAAAAATCGACTAAATTTGATCAAAACCTGGCCGATTCGATCCTGATTGGCTTAAAAACTTGCCATCCGAGCACTTTCAAGCCCATGAAGAATGTCATCAACCTGTTCGTGAAGAGTTTGTCATTGGGATGGCTTCAGACCCTGCCGTTCATGAACTTTTTACTCTGTAGAATCGATTTAGACATGGTGTTGGTACAAGTGAACGATGTGGTCGATAATGCGGTTGATAAATTGAGCAGGTAAGGCATTTGGATTGAGGAGGATAAGGGGCTTGACTTTTTTTTGTTGGTTTAAGAAATTTGAATTTTGGAAAGAAAGTTCTTGCTTTTTTTGTTTTGGAAAGGAAGTTTTTGCTGTTTTATGCTTTGTAAAGAAAGTTTTTGCCGTTTTTTGTCACTTTTAATTCATTCTGGCACTAAAACCTATAATTACATTGCACAGTGCAGTTTTTTAACTTTTTGCACCGTGCAACGAATTTTGTTTTATGCTCGGTGCAAGTTTAAGCGTATTTTAGGTAACACGTATTGTCGTAAAATTTAGTCTGGGCTAATAAAAAGCTATTAAAACGGATTTTATTTTGAAAGCGTTAAAAAGAATGGCACAATGAATTTTTAAAAAATGACTGCACTGTGCAAGCGAAAAAATGCTTTGCACTGTGCAGATAAATTAAAGTTTTTATTACTTTTTTGGACTGGAAAGAAAATTCTTGTTGTTTTATGTTTAAGTTTTTGCAATTTTGTGATTTGTAAAGAAAGTTTTTGCTATTCTTTCCACAATTTTTGACTAATTAAATACATTTTTAGTCAGTTAACCCAACTTTTGTTATCAGCTGTCGAGGAAATCTTTACAACAACATCAGCTGAATCAGAAGCCTTGGAAGAGACATTGGCTTCATTTCAAGTGTCGTTACTCCACATTTTTCGTGCAGAACCCAAGTTTTATAGTCAATTCAGGATAATCATTGATAAAGCTATTGAAACTCAAGCTTTGTTACCTAAAATACTCAAAATAGCATTCTTAGCACCGAAAGTTTATGGCTCGTTCATGACGTTACTGGTACAGTTGGGGTACTTTAATGAAAACGTTGGAAAATGGTTTTATGGACCGTGCACTTTGTAAGTTTAATGGGAAGAAAGTTTATTTTTCAGCTTGTAAAGAAAGTTTTTGCCTATTATAATCTCAAAATAGCGTTTTAAATTCATTTCTACATTAAAATCTTTTATTTTCGTTGCACCATGCAGCCTTTTAATTTTTCTGCACGGTGCAACAAATTTTGTTTATAGCACTGTGCAATTTGTGTTGTATTTTAGGTAACAAATATTGTCAAAATTTTTAGTTTGGACCAGAAAAAAGCTGTTAGAACTATTTTTACTGTAATTGAACTAAAAAGAATGGTTCAGTTAATTTTTGTAAAATTACTGCACTGTGCAATCTTAAAAGTCGTTTGCACGGTGCAAAGTTGAAATTTTTCGCTATTTTTTAGTTTTGTAAAGAAAAATTTTGTTGTTTACAATATTTTTGTTTTCAGCCACGCAAAGCAATTGGCATCTCTACTATTAGTCCAACGATTAACTGATAAAAGAATGGAGGTAACGACTGATTTTGAAGACTTTTTGAAGTCATTGCCTGAGGAAATGATTGTCAGAATGTTAAAATTGATGAACGAAAAGCAAGTACAACATGTGAAACAAGTTCTGACAGCAAAAACGGTCAATATTTTGGTCGAAAAGTGTTGTTGTTACCTAAAAATTAATCCAGTTGTGAGTTTTTTGAGAAAATTTTGAATTTTTTGAAATGGTGGTTAGAATTAAGACACGATTGTATGAATATCGTATTTTACACATTTTTAAACCTAATTAACTTAAGTTTTTTACTTCAGGTACCACTATATTACCCATTACAAGTCTTGGCATCAAAGGAAGGCCTATCACTAGAAAGCACTGTCAAATGGATAAACGGCTTAAATGTAACAAAAACTGATGACAATTTAGATGAGAAATTGAGTAGAGATGCAAAAGTTTACATAGAATTGATAAAAAGCATCAATAATGGACTGAAGGATATTAACCATGATGTACAAGATGACTTGGACTGCTTAGCTCAAGTTTTGTTTAATTTAAACACAGACGATAGACATACTATAATTCAAATTACTGTAAGTTTTTTTATTTTGTCACGTTTGTAATTTAAAAATGATTGTAATGTTGATTTTTGAAGGGTTTTTCATTTTGCACGGTGCTAAAATTTTGGAATTGCACCGTGCTGTATGTTATCAAAATTTTTGGTTTTGTAATTAAAGTTTGGTTTAACTATATTGTAAAGATTGTATCTTGATTGGTTTACAATATTATAGCTAGATTTGGTAAAGTTAAAGGGGTTTTTATATATTGCACCGTGCAAGAAATTTGGTGAGTGCACGGTGCAGAAATTTTGAAATGGGCAATGTGGTCAAATGACATTCTTTTTTAAATCGATTTTAAATTTTAAGTTGATAGGGTTGTAAGACTATACATGTAAGATTTTTGGAGTTTATACTTATCTTTCTCTTGAGATATGACAATACAAAAATTTTGCACTGTGCAGAAATTACAAGCTTGGCACTGTGCACTATAAAAAATACTTTTTGCTAAAAATTAAATATTTTAGAATGTCAAGTACAGAAAAATGTTGATATCAAGATTTTTCAACTACATAAACGACGAACTCTGTCGAATAGCGGTCGAAAGCTACAGAATCGACAGGATGAGAGACTGCACAAAGGTGGTTAATATTGTAACAAAGTTAGTTAAATATATGGAGAAAAACAGGTTAAATACAAAAGATATACACGCCATTTTGTGTGGCATAAGTGATATACCGGCTGAATTTCATGAGTTTGAAAGGGTTAGAATTGGCAATTTTGACAAAGTCTTGAACGATGGATTTGTGACTGAAATGGTAAGTTTGTTACAGTAGAGTGGGGTTGTAGGTTGATAAAAGTAGATTATTTTTGGGCACATGGTAAAGCGGTTATTTGTTCTTGTTTTTGTCAAAGGGCTTTTAATTTTGTTGATTTTAAAAAGAGGTATGATTTAAAATGTCACTAGAGGTCAAAGCTCGAAAAAACCTTCAAAAAATGTATAAAATATGTCATTTTAGATCGAATCAGATCTCAAAAACACCAACCTTGATGTAAATTTCTACAAAGCATTCACTGAGCTCATAAAACGGTCGGATCTATCCAAATACGACCAAAATGACATGTATACCATCGAAAACTTGTCACCAATATTATCCATGCTCTTGGATCAAATTGAACGTCTCATCCCAAAGTCGGAACGTCTCAAAATTGATAAAATTTGTTGGAAAGTTCAAGTAGGGAATGGTGAACATGAAGAAGTGCTGGAGACTTTTATTTTATGCCAAAAGGCGGCTAAATTGGTGAAAATTGAAAATTCAACGAATTTCGAACATTTTGAGGAAATTAAACGCGCTGTTTTGGGTAAGTGCTGTATGAAGGTTGTTGTTTTATGGTTTGAGTATTGGTGTTATTTGTTTTTTGTTTTTTTTTGCAAAATTTTAATTAAAAAATTTTTTTTTAAACACATTAGAATTAGTACAAACATGTCAGTACAAATAATGCTAAAAGAGCAAAAATGACATTCTATTTGTTACTCAACACTTATTTTACTAATTTTACTGTTTATTTTATCCGGAAAGCTATTTGCGGCTGCCCGGATTCGAACCAACATGGTTTTGCGCCGAAATTCAGCGCGCTACCTCTGTACTAAACGGTTTTCTGTCGAATTTTGGCTTTTTGCTTTGAAATTTTTTACATGTTTATAGGATAGAATTTTACACTGATTTTAAATTTTTGATCATTTTTTAAAAATAACTAATTTAAATAGTTATTAGCACTTTTTGCGAAAATTTTTGGTATTTTTTTTAGTTTTTTTGTCCAAATTTTGTGTTATTGAGCTTATTGGGGTAAAATACGAAAAATCGCTCGGAATCATTTTTAGTTTGATGTCCTTAAAAGTTTTGATTTCAGCCTTGCTTCGACTGAATATCTTCGCCAAAATGTTCATTTTCCCGGAAAAAGCCCTAAAACGCGGACATAACCTTCAAATTGAACCTCAAAAAGACCAAGTTTACGTACCATTGATATCGATTCATCTTCTTAGTGATTATGAAATCCTGTCGGACTTTGTTCAACGCATATTCTTATTAGGATGGACGAAGAAAAGCCAATTCGAAGAGATTTGGATGTCCTTGTTTGGGGTTTTGTGCTCAACTCCAATTGGCAATGAACTTGGTGGGGAGGATGTGCAGGTAATGA